CACACGATCTTTATTCAAAATATTTATATTAGTTATTTTAACTTTTTACTAAAACGTGGAGAGTTGAAATACACTTTTATTTTTTATTAAATTCAGATTAAAATTTTACATATTTTAAATTTTTTAATATTTTAGATTAGTAATAATTCAAAGTAGTGTGCGTGAGACGGGGTGAAATATTTGAAAATGACAATAAATTTTTTCCATCCCTATTTAATAGCCGCATGAAATACCAAACTATTATCCGCGTTTGGTAGAGGAAAAAGATTGACAGACAATTTTATTTATTAATATATTAATAATCAGAAAAATATTGATAGAAAATTATATTTTACCAAACAATCAGCTAACAATTTGATTTATTAATAAAATAATATTTTTAATTAATTTTATTTTAATTTATTTATTTTATAAATATAATACTAATAAATGAAATTATCTAAATTTTTAGATGTGATTAACAATATATCATAATTCTTTGACAAAATCCAACTCAAATTAAAATATCTTATTAAACAAGCTTCTCGTAGACTCTTACATAACAAATTTCATAAATTAAAATTAGTTATAATAAATTTATTCATATAAAAATTAATATTATTCTATCTTTAGAAATATGATGTACTTAATATTTTAGTATAAAAAATTCACATGGATAAAAAATACAATAAAATAAAAATATATAATTAAAATATAAACTAATTTTATAAAATAAAATAAAATTAAATATTTATCTATTTTTAATATAATATCATAATTAATTTTAGTGAGAGTTTTTTTTTTGTTGGATCTATCTATTTATATACGTGTCTTTATATTTGATAATTATAATTTATGTCTTGATTATTTAAATATGAATTTTTATTTTGGTTGTAATAATTTTCAATTAGTATTTACTAATTGACTTTTCATGTGAAAGTAAAATAACTGAAATAACGTATATAGATATTAAACAGGTAAGGAGGAACTATTCTTTTGAAAAGAAATTGTCTCTTGAAAGAAATATATGATGTTTACTAATGTTTTTCTATTAATTTGTAATTTAAAAAATATATGTTTAATATGCGTATCAGATGATGTATATTACTTTTCTTCTCTTTTTGTTGTTACACTTTCCAAGGAAAAAAACTTGTTTATTTTTTTTTTCAAAACGAAACTACTAATACAAGTTTAAAATTAAAATTAAATATACGAATGAAGTTTTATAAATTATTTTTAATTATTATGAAAGAATTTTATTATATGTATATATATACTCGATTATAGATCAAAATCAAGGTATGGAGACTCAACCATTCTATTGTATTGTAGCTGACCCGTTATGAAAAAGTATCATTATTTATTTTAAACACATGGTAATTTCATTAACTTAATAATTAGATACGTTATATTTACATAATGTATATTTACATAATGCATATTTACAAATAATAATAATTTAAAAAATCTATCTTTTATTTTTGTTGTAATTGATATATGAATAATATATTTAAAAAGAAAACTATTTAAATACATTTTTGTAAATTTATTTATTTATGAATACTATACAAAGTTTAATAATAAAAAATAAATTTATTTAATATAATATAGTTTTTTTCTTGTTTTATTAATATTTGTTTCTATCATTTAATGTTTTTATTTTCTCTTTCTTTTTTGTTATTCTCTTCTATCCTATTTTTCTAATTAAAAATATTATATTGCAATTTAATAAAATATATTATTTATTATTTTTAAATAATAAAATATATAAATTATTTATAAATATTATAACTTAATATATTATATTATAAATGTTGAGATATTATAAATATTATTGTTATTATAATTATTAAAAAATATTAAATATTTATTTTGAAAAAAATTAAAAAATATTTTTTCTAAATTATCTATTATCATAATTCGATTTAATTATAATTATATTAAATTACTATATAAAACTATATTTAACTCGTAATTATCTAATAATTTTTTAATTATATGAATAATTGATTTATTATGATAAAATAATTTTAAATTAATTATTTACGTTATCATAAATAAAATTATTTATTTATGATTATAATTTTAAACAATTGGTTGATATTTTTAATTTAAATATTAATTTAAAAAATTATTTTAATATTTTTTATTACATTTTAATATACTATTTTTAATTAAAAAAGAAAAATAATACGTGAAATGAAAAAGAAAAAAATAAGAATGAAATGAACCCAAATCAAATAAAAAATTATAAAAAAGGAAAAATTATATATAAATAATAAATTAATATAACTTTTTTCTTTTAAAATATATTATTAATACATAATAGTATATAAAGGATAAATTTATATTTTCATTATATTTTAGTCACTTAAATATTATATTGATTGCTTTCTAGAAAGTATATCTTTTCTCCTCCTCCCCAAACGATTTTTATATCAATGAAATAATATTTTATTAATTAATTGACATTTATAATTAATCAATCTCAGCGTTTAATTGGCAGGCTACACTTTTAAATATTTTGGCCACAACTATACATAGAATTCAAAGTAATTATGAAGGCTTATATTTTTAAAAGGAGTTGTTTCTCTGTATTGTGTGGTTTTGATTTATAAAATTTTACAATTGTAAGATATGTGTATTTTGTTTTTCGTATTACATTTAATATTTTGGATTTTTATGTATTTTTTCTATTTTATTAATCATAATCATAATAATAATAATAATAATAATAATAATAATAATAATAATAATAATAGAGAGTATTCACTGTTTTAAACACAAATAGTTTTAGAAAAAAATATAATTTTATAATAAAAAATATTTTATAATTACATACCAAAATATATTATTAAAATATTAATTTAAAAAATTATTTGATTAATAAAAAATAATTAATAATTATATAAATAATTTTGATATTAAAAAATAATTAATTTTTATTTTATATTTATTATTTTTAAAGTTTTCATTGTTTTTTTTTAAGTTTTTATCCTTTAGTTTGACATGAAATTTTAGATATAAGTTGAGACATTACCTCTTATATGTAATATTATTAAAACTATGAAATATTATTTAAAATAGAAAGGAAAAAATAACTAATAAAAAGAAGATGTCTACAAATTAAATGTTTCAAAAATTTAAATTAAAAATAATATTATATTCTCTGATATAATTAATTTATGTTCTACTCATAAATATATCTTAAGTATCAATTTATATACTAAGTAGATAGATAGATAGATATAGAGAGAATAAATTATATTGAAAAATTTGTTAATCATTCAAACATTCAACCATCTATTGCTGTAAATTTTTTTATAAATAATTAATATACTTCTTAAGATTAAATTATTAATTTTGAAAGGATAATCACACAGACAAATATTCTAGGAATCCATTATTACGCATTACTTCCATACCAAACATCCATATGACCCTAAAGAATTACAAAAGTAGATACAAATATTAGCAATCTCTTGTTACAAAATTATGAGTTCACTCTTTTCTCGAATAATTTATGAGTTTACCGACTCGATATTATAAGTAAAGATATATTTTCTTTTCTATACTTCTTATGTTTTTTTATTAATATTTACAAAAAATGTTATTTCTGTCTAAATTAATAATATTTACTAAAATTTAAGGTAATTTTTCATAAATGGAAAATTCATTATTGAATAAGAAATAGATTAGTTTTCCTATAAAAAAAATTTAAAGAAAATAGGCTTTCGTGGGTTAATGGTTTGTTGTGAGAACCTATTTGAGTATGGGTCGGGTTATCGGGCCTATATTTGTTTTTCTTTCTTTTCTACGAATTTTACCTTTGAAAATTTTGAAAAAAGTTATTTTTTTTAAAATTTGTCATTTATTTATTTATTAAAAAATATTTTTAAAATACGATATATATATATATATATATATATATATATATATATATATATATATATATATATATATGTTATATAATTTGAAAACATCGTATGATTCTGATCAATTTTCACCGAACATAGTCAAACCTTTTAATGTAAAAGATGAATAAAATTCGACATATCTTACATTTTTTTTATTGAATTAAACATATAGTTAAAGAATCCAAAATATTTTTTATTATTGAAAAATTGATAATGTTTTAGAAAAAATATATATTTAGCAATATTTTTTAATTAAAAATGATTCGTTTTAAATTTTTTAATCCGTATAAAAATATCAATTAATAGTTAAAGTTTTGAAAACAGGTCAATTTAAATTTTAATTAAAATTGTTTAAATTTTAGTTAATATAATGACTATTTTTTTATAAAAAATTTATTAGGTTTGAAAAAGATACACAACTCTTTAATATTTTTATATAAATCATATATTAATGTATTAATTATATTTTACTATAAATAATATATAAAAATTATGTTTTTCTATTTTTTATTTCCAAAAATTTTAAATTTATTGTTTTTAATTAATCTAAACAGTGACAGATTTTGGTCTATAAATTTTAGAAGGCACTCAAAATTCAACGTTACGTAAGTATGCATTAATAATTAAGAACTATTAGGTAGGTGTGTCTCAACCGCTCAATAGACTTTAAGGTGAAATTTCAATGCTGATGATCGAGATCATATTACAAAGTTTACACTTTATATTTATTGAAAGTGAAATTTGAAAACACATTCCAAATTTTGCTTGAATATATTATTACAACGACGGGTAGTGGTTTAGTAAAAGCAATAGGTTTTCTTTTGTTTGGTGTTTTAGTTTTTCCTTATCAACCATGGTTTGATTCAAATACGTGGAGGAATCACTTTAGTGATGGAAGATGTATTTAAAATATATTTTTAAGAGTTTGTAGTTAAAATAAAAAATATATAAATGAAGGTGTTAAGAGTGGACTTAAAATGAAACTCGTGGGACAATGATCTTCATTTGGTACTTGTATATATATCAAGTGTTGAATCCACACATTTGTTATACACCAAACACTTGAATCAAACATCTCCTTTGGCAACTTGATTTTGTTTAGGCATGTGGAAGTGGAAGTTGAAGATAGCAGAAGGAGGAGAAGGGATAATTTCAGTGAACAATTTCATTGGGCGTCAACATTGGGAGTTTGATCCCAATGCCGGAACTCCACAAGAACGTGCGGAAATTGAAAGGGTGCGAGAGGAATTCAGAAAAAACCGCTTTCGCAATAAGCAAAGTGCTGACCTTCTCCTTAGAATGCAGGTTTCGTTATTTATACAAATTTTTAAAACTATCTTATTGATACGAATTATTTTTTCAGTTCATTTCGACAATTTTTTATTGATAAATCTCTTCTTCTAATTACTTTTTTTTAAGATTTTATTTAAAAATACTGAATTCAGTATCACTTCAATCAATAACTTATTGATATAAAGAAGGGCTTAGAAATATTTTTACTAAAAAAGTTATAAATTATTATTTTTTCATTTATACACTTGTATTTAGAACGGTGTAATAGAATTCATAAACCCTTTTTTTTCAAATTTTATCACACACAACTAAGTCCCTTCCTCTTGTTCAAAAAATATTTGTTTACTTTATATCTTGATGTCAACTTTAAGATTAATATATATATATATATATATATATATATATATATATATATATATATATGGCATTTAAATTCAAATATAAAATAAAATTTATAAGATGATATAAATCTTATCTATTTTCATTTTATGTAATGAAATATTTAATTCATATTTTATTTTAAACGATTATAAAAATGGAAGAACAGTACTTCCATTCGAACCCAATTAATTACCTTAAAATTGGAGTCTTTCATCAATAAATCGGAAGGATAATTTGAGGAATGAAGTTAAATATAATGATGCGACGAAAAAAAAACTAGCAATATATTTGTAAAGCATGAAACACAAAATTAGCAAGACTCATCAAATAAAAATCAGAAAATTTTATAATTTTTTAATAACTTTTAACCATAAATAATAAAGAGTATGTAAAAAAGACTCTCTCTCTATATATATATGCGCATATATTTGTATTTTATTTTAATTTACTAAAATATATATATATATATATATAAATTTTAAAATATAAATACTTATTTTTAAATTATAAATTGTTGAAGATAAATATTTATTTTTAAGAAGATTAAAAAAACTTGTAATTGAGAAAATAAAGATGAAATAATATTTTTTTATTTTTATTTGTTATTTTATAATAAAAATTGAAAGAACTATGTAATTAAAAAAAGAAAGAAATAAAACATAAATATAAAATATAATTTTTTCATGAAAAAAAAAACTGTTACAAGATAAAATCTTTATAGATATAAATATATTTTCCACCTCACTTTTTTAAATGGGGAATTTTATATTATAATTTATATTTAAGTGGTGATATTTTGACAACAAAAAATCATACAACTCTTTAAACAACTCACTTTTATTAATATAATAATTTATAAAATGATTTAATAAAAATAAAAATAAATTAAAACTATTATTATAATATTAAAACCGAATTATTTATAAAAATTATATAGATTTAGGTTATTAAATTATCATTTTCTTTTATAATTATAAGTTAAAAATATACTTCTCATCAAATAAATATACGAGTTTGTTTGACTTTTCCAAAAGCCACTCTAAAATTTTAAATGCATGTGGTGAATAGTGATTGAGTATTGACTCTTTCTCTTTTCAAATTTGTGACAAACAATACTTTGACTTTGAAATGTGCCAGCTGAGAAAGGAGAACACGTGTGGGCCCATTCCAGCAAGAGTGAACGTGAGAGACAGAAAATGTTACAGAAGAAGCATTGATTACTACGATGAGAAGGGGTATCACTTTCTATTCCTCTATTCAGGCCCATGATGGCCACTGGCCTGCTGACTCTGCTGGTCCTTTGTTTTTCATTTAACCTTTGGTGAGTAGTTTAAACCATCAATACACAAAACATATTTTTTTTATAAATAATACTATTTTTAAAAATATTTTTCAAAATAGCACATAGAATATTATTTACCCAACTAACTCTCTATACTTATTCATGTATTAAAATAATCAATTATTTTAGATTATGATCGATTATTTCGCGCAGATCAATTCTCGCTCAAGCGAGAAATCCATCGCTTGAGCGAGAAAAGTTGTAACAAATGATTAATAGCGAGTTATATTTCGCTCAAGTGACGGGTACTTTCGCTTGAGCAAGAAGTGATTGAAATATGTGGTGACCCAAGTTGCATTATGTGACTAACTACGTGGGACGTTTAGCATGTGGTCATTTCTCACTCAAGCGATGGGTAATTTCGCTCGAGTGAGAATTGATTGGCTAACCACGTTGGACCGTGGTAAATTTTCGCTCAAGCGAGACATCCATCGCTTGAGCGAAGAATTATATAATCGATTATAATTTAAACTAATCGATCATAATTTTAAAATAATCGAATATAGAAAATGATAATCGATTATTTCTCTCTCGCTCAAGTAAGAAACCCTTTGCTTGAACGAGGAGACATGAAACTAATGGGTAATCTTAGGTCAATGCTCGCTCAAACGATGTGTACTTTCACTTGAGCGAGAAGTGATTGAAATATGTGGTGACCCAAGTTGTATTATGTGGCTAACTGCGTTAGACGTTTAACCTGTGGTCAATTCTCGCTCAAGCGATGGATTATTTCGCTTGAGCGAGAATTAATTGGGTAACTGCGTTGGACTGTGGTCGAGACATTCATCGCTTGAGCGAAGAAATTTATAATCGATTATAATTTGAATTAATCGATCATAATTTAAAAATAATTGAATATATAAAATTATGATTGATTATTTCTCTCTTGCTCAAGCGAGAAACCTTTCGCTTGAGAGAGGAGACCTAAAACTAATAGGTAATCTTGGGTATTTTTTCGCTCAAGCGATGGTTAATTTTGCTCGAGCGAGAAGTGATTGAAATATGTGGTGACCCAAATTGCATTTTGTGGCTAACTGCGTTGGAGCTTTAGCCTGTGGTCAACTCTCGCTCAAGCGAGAAACCCATCGCTTGAGCGAGGAAACCTGCAACTATTTACAATGCTAAGTCACCCACCCAAGTCAGGACTCCAATCTTGGATTCCCTGCATTGGGTTAGACAAAAACAAAAGAATTTAAGCACATTTAAAAGAGATGTTGACCCACCCACTTTGCTTGGGTTTTGTGTGCGTCAGAAATCATGTGAGGGAGCCTTGGATTCATACCATTGAACTTCATTATAAATAGATCACTTTCATTCTTTGAAGTTCTCACATTACACACTCCTAAATCTCTGAAGCTCTTTGCATTATTTCTTCTTCTTACCTTTAGTCTTCTTTTTGTTCCACACTTCTAAAATGGGTGTAGTGTCTACTATTGTCCACTATGATGGTTCCATGAACCCATGTCCCATGGAGGGAGTTACCTTCAATACTGAGACTGCAAAACTTGTTCCTTTAAAGAGAGGAATTTATCTACAAAGGTTGAAGAAGTTGACCCATAGGAAATTGGAGAAAAAACCCCATGAAAATGTAGCAACCATCAATTTTCGCTGCCCAACTAGACTCGGAGTTGGGATCAACAACTTCATTGCTGTTGAGTTAAAAGATGATGACGACGTGGAGGTCATGTTCGATGTTCATGATTCAAACTCAAGTCTATGTGGTATTGAAATTTTTGTTACATTTAAAACTTCTTCTTCTTCATACCCAACACACACTCACCTGAAATCTCACCCTCACCCTACCAAGCTTTCCCAAACACTGACTCAGAAATACCCACACATAATGACTACATCTTTTTACCCAACTTCTAAGTGGGTCTTCCACCACCATCAATGAAGAACTACCCACACAAGAGAACAAAATTGTTGGCCTCCCAATTGAAATCGTTGATCCTTTTAGTGAGGATGAAGACGAAGATGAAATTCTCAGCCAACACCAAGATGATTCAGAGGACGAAAAACCACATATCCCTACACATGCACCAAACTTCATGGAATCATACAACCCACCACAACATTTTCTTAACTTTGAAAGTCACATTGAGCAACAAGACCCAGAGTATGGTCATGCGTTGGACAAATAGTCTTTTGTTTCTCCAGCAGGAACTCTATTTCTTGGACAACATTTCATAACAAAAGAACAAGTTCAAGATGCCATCAACTGTTAGGTTAGCTTTCTCTAGCTCCTTGTATGAGCATGATTAACTGTGTGGTGAGAGCTACATAGTTCTTTGGTTGTGTGCCTGATGGTAAATATTGCTTAGTGCTTGTATATGATGTGGATTATCTATGGATTGATTTATTTATTTCCCTTGATGCATTGGAATTGTTTTTGAAGTATTTCGTATGGTATGTTAGTTAGTGTGTGCTTAGGAGAGTCGAAAGGAGGTGTTTAGAATTGTTTGGCTGAAAAAGGGGGTTGAGACTCCAAAGAACCTCCAAGCTTCCAGTCCAGATCTTAGTTGAAAGTGATCCTAGCAAATATCTCATTGATTTGATGAAGTCAAAGATAAAGTCAAGGGTCAACTCTGCAGCAGTCAAACAAGTCACTCAGAAGAATGGAGCTGAAGACTTAGTGTGTCTTAACAGAAAGCTTAGGTAAAACCACTTTACCTTTTCCACTGCATAAAGCTTCTTCACTCATCTTGCAAAATGCCTCAAAAACAGTTTTTAACAAATCAAAAACAAAAGCATTTTGGCAAAGAATTTTCTTAAACAAGTTATTAACTGATACAGGTTTGAAAGAATCAATTTAAAACACTTAGAATGTCTTAAAAAGTGTTTTTACAATATTTTAATCGATACAAACTTCTTTTAATCGATTAAAACTCTTTATGACCGATTAGAATTCGAATATAATAGGTCAGAATGCAATATAATCGATCAGATCATAAATATGAGCGATCAGAATTATTTTAATCGATTAAAACACGTTTCAATCGATTAAAATCACTTTGGATGTCAGGATGATCGATCAGAATGAGATTATGACCGATCGAAGTTGGATATGATCGATCAGAATTGAATTATGACCGATCAGATCTGTTTCAATCGATTAAAACGTATTTCAATCGATTAAAATAACTTAGAAAATCTTTTCAATCGATTAAAACGAACTTTCAATCGATTAAAATGACTTGAAATTATATGTGCAGTTTTTCAATCGATTGAAACGACTTTATATCGACTAAAATAACTTGGAAAGTTTTATAAGAAGGTTTTTAAACAAAACAATCGATTAATACGCGATTCAATCGATTGTTTTATACTTAGAAAATGTTTGTAAAACGTTTTAACTGATAAAAACGTGGTCGTATCAACTAAAACATTTTCTGTTAAAGATCAAGAATGCATTAATGGGTTGAAAGGACTTTTAACAGATTGTAACGGCTATTTCAACAGATCAAAACAAACTTTCAACAGATTAATTAATGCAACAGATTTGAAAATACTCTTTTATAAACGAATTGCTTGAAACTTTTAACGAGATGAGTTTTGACACAATTCAAGCAATCAATACAAACAACTATTAGCATTTTTCAAGAAAGATACACAACTGTTTTTGTGAACTTCTTTTGAAATCTTTCTTGAGGCACTTTGCATTTCTTTGAAGAAGAAACTGATCGTGGATTGGTATAATCCGGTTTGAGCTTTCTTTGTTTCTTCTTTTAAATTTCTATTCATTCATTTGTACTTGTTTTGTACCTGGAATTTGGGTACAAGTTTTCTCGCACTTGTTGTAGAAAGTTGCCAAGAACTGGAATTTGGTTCTTGGTGGAAAGGTTAAAGCAAGAGCTGGAATTTGGTTCTTGTGTGTGGTGCCTGGAATTTGGGCACTGGTTTCTCTGCGGCTGGAATTTGGTTGCAGAGGTTTCCAAGAACTGGAATTTGGTTCTTGGTGGAAAGGTTAAAGCAAGAGCTGGAATTTGGTTCTTGTGTGTGGTGCCTGGAATTTGGGCACTTGGTTTCTCTCGTGCTGGAATTTGGTTGCGAGAGGTTTCCAAGAGCTGGAATTTGGTTCTTGGTGGAGAGTTAGAATAGGTGTAAGAGTGTGAGTCTCAGTAAAACATCTATTCTAGTGGAACCCAGCTGGAATTTGGCTGGAGACTGGACGTAGCCCTGGTTGTGGGTGAACCAAGTATAAAATTACCTAGTGAAATCTTTCCTAACCTTTCTCTCTTTAATTTCATCTGCTGCACTTAAACTGTTTGATTGCTTTGTGATTTGTGAATTGATAAGTAATCTTAATTTTCGGATTAGATAATCTGTGTATTGCGAAAAACTTTCAAAAATCAATTCACCCCCCCTCTTGATTTAAAACTACTTTTCTAACAATTGGTATCAGAGCGAGGTGCTTGAAAGTTAATCAAGTTACTTCGATCCATGGCATTTTCTGAGGGAGCGTGCATTGATAGACCTCCACTGTTAAGTGGAACAGATTACCTATATTGGAAAATAAGGATGAAAATCTTCATTGAATCTGTTAGTATAAATGCTTGGAATGTTATTGAACAGGAAATTGATATTGCTAACAGAATCCAAGATGATTGTATTGCCAAGAACATCATCTTATCCGCCCTTAACAAAAATGATCTTTTCAGGATTGCACATTGCCAAACAGCTGCACAAATGTGGAAGATTCTTGAAAAAACCTATGAAGAAGCACCAGAAATATGCTTGATGGTCAACTCAGAATCACCAAATACAAGTGTAAGTTCTGAATCTATGAACTATAGCTCATTACAAGATGCTTTCCTTGAAATACATGCAGTAGCAAAGAAATTAGAAACTGAAAATAGAAAATTGAAAAGCATGAATAGACTTTTAGAAAACAAGATCATTCTTCTTGAAAAGAAAATAACTGATGAAGAATAAGGATGAAAAGTTAGAATTAGAGAATGATACTGATTGCA